CAGAGGCACACACAGGACACACACATCTGCACAAGTGCACACACATGCCTGCCGAGGCACACACAGCACACATACATCTGCACACGTGCACACACATGCCTGCTGAGACACACACAGCACACACACACACACGCCTGCAGAGGCACACACAGGACACACACACCTGCACATGCACACACACATCTGCACACGTGCACACACATGCCTGTAGAGGCACACACAGGACACACACATCTGCACACATGCACATACATGCCTGCAGAGGCACAAACACACACACCTGCACACGTGCACACACATGCCTGCAGAGGCACACACAGCACACACACACCTGCACATGTGCACACACATGCCTGCAGAGGCACACACACACCCGCACACTTGCGCACACACACCTGCACACATGCACACACATAGCTACAGAGGCACACATAGGAACATACACATGTGTAGACATACATAGCCCTTGAAACACTATTTATTTACTTAGTTTTTTTAGAAACAGAGTCTTATTTTGTCGCCCTCGGTAGAGTGCCATGGTGTCACGGGTCAGAGCAACCTCCAGCTCTTGGACTTAGGTGATTCTCTTGCCTCAGCCTCTCAAGTAGCTGGGACTACAGGTGCCCACCACAAACCCTGGCTGTTTTGTTGTTGTTGTTGCAGTTTGGCCACCCTTGGCATATGGGGCCAGCGCCCTATTCACTGAGCTACAGGTGCTGTCTCAGCCCTTGAAACACTTTAAAAGAGTAACAATAGGCCAGCGTGGGGGCTCACACCTGTAATCCCAGCACTCTGGGAGGCTGAGGTAGGTGGATTGCTTGAACTCAGGAGTTTGAGACCAGCCTGAGCAAAGTGAGACACTGTCTCTAAAACAAAATAGCTGGGCATTGTGGTAGGCACCTGTAGTTAGTGTCAGCTGAGGAGACTGAGTCCAGAGGATCACCTGAGCCAAAGAGTTTGAGGTTGCTGTGAACTGTGATGCCATGGCACTCTATCCAGAGCAACAGAGTGAGACTCTGTCTAAAAAAAAAAGGTAACAGTAATTCCTCAAGATCACCAGACATCCAGTCACTGCCCACTTTTTTTTTTTTTTTTGAGACAGAGTCTTACTATGTCACCTTAGGTAGAGTGCTGTGGCATCACAGCTCACACCAACCTCAAACTTGGGCTTAAGCCATTCTCTTGCCTCAGCCTCCTGAGTAGCTGGGTCTATAGGCATCCACCACAATGCCTGGCTATTTTTGCAGTTGTCATGTTATTTAACTGGCCCAGGCCAGGCTCAAAGCCACCAGCCTTGGTGTATATGGCTGGCGCCCTAACTCACTAAGCTACAGGCACCTAGACATTTTTTTTT